CCTCAAAAACATTTTTCGGGCAAAAAATCCGGTCGAGGAAATTGACGTGTCACTTCCTTTTAATCAAGTATAAGATAGGCGAAAAACCTTTGATGAATTCCCAAGGTCCTCTAAGACTAATAATCATCAAAAAGTTCCAAAAACTTACTCGAAAGGAAAAAAATAAAATGAAAAATAAATCCCTTGCCAAAAATAAATAAAAAAACCGATTTTGAGATAAATCCCTTGAATGAACTTGAAATCACGAAATTGGTCGAGGATGTCAACTGAAATTTTTCCCTCTTTAATTATGAGCTCCACAACAAGCGTGACTCGCTTGTACCTTTTCATACACGAGCCGCACGAATTCATCTCTTCTTCTCTCCTCTCCTTCCGTCCATGGACAGAGGTCCAAAATTTTTCGGATTCACTGACGTGACCGGCTGCGGCTCGATGCTCTCAGTGAATCTGTGCCTTCTTATCATCCCTGATGTCGGCTTTAAGTCGGTTGCAGTTTCACCAGTCGACCCATTTTTCCATAACCACATGTTAGACTTTTTCGAAACATGATTCATCTGAAACATGGGATTTTTTTAAGGGAGCTTACCATTTGATTTGGACGGTAGGTAGGTTGTAAGTAATAATTGTTCTTATACTCTATCAGTTAAGTATAAAATACATCTGTACCATTGGATGACATTTCGACAGACACGTTAGGTCCGGACAAGTGAGGGGGTTTCTGAATCGCAAAATTATTAGTGGAATTGTTATAGTGGAGGAGTTGAGTCCCTTCACGGAATGAGCCCCACTTAAGTCAACAGGTTGTACGTGTTTCTCTCTGACTAATGTGTAATCTTAGTAATCCACCCATGTTTACGCACCGAGCCGCAGCCGGTCGCGTCAATAAATCCGAAAAATTTTGGACCTCTGTCCATGGACGGAAGGAGAGGAGAGAAGAAGAGATGAATTCGTGCGGCTCGTGTATGAAAAGGTACAAGCGAGTCACGCTTGTTGTGGAGCTCATAATTAAAGAGGGAAAAATTTCAGTTGACATCCTCGACCAATTTCGTGATTTCAAGTTCATTCAAGGGATTTATCTCAAAATCGGTTTTTTTATTTATTTTTGGCAAGGGATTTATTTTTCATTTTATTTTTTTCCTTTCGAGTAAGTTTTTGGAACTTTTTGGTGATAATTAGTCTTAGTGGACCTTGGGAATTCATCAAAGGTTTTTGCCTATCTTATACTTGATTAAAAGGAAGTGACACGTCAATTTCCTCGACCGGATTTTTTGCCCGAAAAATGTTTTTGAGGGTTTTTGTAGTTTATATCAGGTCGTTTTTGGGTGAATAAGTACCTAAAGGTCTGGCTATACGAGGAGCTAGCAAAACCGAAGCATTCGGTGGCTCCCGGAGTTGGGTGTAGGATTCAGGAAGTTCAGAGCGAATCGGAGAACCGGAACGAAAGTACAGCGCTACTGGTGGAGAAAAGTGAAAGTGAAAACTAGGGTTTCGGCGTTAGCCGCGAGAGAGCGCACTAATGCTGATTCTGATTCTTGCAACTTCCCAGATCCTGAGAACTCGGACCAATTGCAGCAAAGTAAAGTTTAAAAATTGCCCGCGAATTTATTTACTTTCAGATAGGACTTTATAGGATGGCACACAGTATAGCAGCAAAAACTAAGAATAGCGTGAAAATGCACTAAAAGAACAAGGGTTTTGAGGATAATGTATTTTAAGATTGATGTAGAAATTCGTCTGGATAAAAATTTGCCTTCTTATTTTCGAGATTTTGTTTATTTTGCTCTTGTTGCTTTTCTACCATTTCCTACTTACATCCCCTCTCTCATTCCGTTTGTTTCTTGTTGTACCCTTCGTTCCATGGTTCATTCTCAGTCTTTCGCTTTAACCGAAATGCAAGAGCCAATCAAAAATTGATCCTACAAGGCGAAACTCTAAGTACGAAACGAATCTGGTGTTCATTGGTTGAGAAGTAACTGCATCATAAAGAATGTGGCCACCACAAATTGAGTCCTTATTTTTACTGAACTTCAGACAGTGGGAAACGCACACAGAACTGTTGTCAAATTAAATGATGTTTTTAATTAATAATAATGGAACTATCATGATCTTTTTATCCAAAGGATCGACGTCAAATCAGGGATCGGTTGGGAACAATTAAATCTATGAATCGCAGCGTTGCAGCTAGTGTCTTTTGTCCACCCAATAACAAAAAATTATGTTGGTACCTGCACTTGGTATAAAGATTGACAACTGACTTGACCTATTTGATTTATTATCTTATGTGTTCTTAATGCAGTAAATAAGTCTGGAGATCTAAGTATTGGCATGAGTTCATTAGAGAAAAAGGCTCATCTGAATGTGAGAGGCCAGAGCGGTGCTTACGGTAACCATACCTGGGTTCGTAGGCTCACCCTCGTACCTACTGAGACGGCAATCTTCATCTTTTGATCGGAGGATATACCGTACCTAGTTGGTAAGAGTGGAGAGGCATTTATGATTACATTAATACCATAGGATCTAATTGTATTTAGCCTTGATTAACACGATCACACTTACTCCAATGGAACTAGGCAGGAACACGTACCTACGTATCTTAATACTGAAGTCCTCTAAACAGATGAGCGATACATTCTGTTACTCTTTTAAATAGAGGAGGAATGGACGCACCCGTTTCACACAGCAATTTATGCAAGAAAATGAAGCCTTCATTGTATTTTAATCATCAACTTATGAAATTATGAGAATAAAATGGGTACATACCTTTCATTAAAGACCTTGTTATACATTGTTGGGCAAAATGAAGTTTCTAACAACTCCTGACGCAATATCAAAGAGACTCAGAAGAAACCAATTTGAGCAAATGCTCACAGTCAAAGACCTTTGATTATGTGACATTAAGTTGACCTATGATTGAAATGTTCCGAAAAGGGATGGAATTGTGCCTCACATACTCAGGTACGCAAGCCAAGCGTCACAAGAACGATAGAAGAGATAGGAGGATTCCAAGATAAATCATGAAGGAAACATGTTCTTAATGTAAATAACATACACTTTAGAGAAGCATAATCACTCCAGAGCACATAGGTTGATGGCAAGATATAGAGCGAATAAATTTTGGTCGAAGTTCAGTGACAGTCGCAGGTGAAGACCGAGGCTCATATTCCAGTAATTTTTAGACTTTCGTAGTGAGAATGTGTCGCAGCCCCAGCCAGAGAGAGAACTCGGAGGACCAGGCCAATCTACCGAAGGGATTGTGGGCGCTCTCAGAGTCGCGATGACGTCATAAGACAGTCGGTGCGGGTTTCATCAGCGAGCGCCCGGGAGAATAGAGAGAGAGAGAATGGGAGTATCTGGTGTACTCAAATGTGCAAGAGACAGAAGAGAGCATCCACATTTGGCGTGCTCAACAAGAGAGAGAACGAAAAGGGAGCATCCACATTTGGCGTGCTCTAGAGTGAGAGAGAACAAGAGGAGAGCATCCACATTTGGCGTGCTCTGGGGAGTCAGAGAGAGAGAGATGAACATCCACAATTGGCGTGTTCGAGGGGGAGTGAGAGAGATGAGCATCCAATCAGGCGTGCTCGAGAGAGAGAGAGAGTGTAGCAAAACTGCAGAGAGACAGTAAGTACTAGCGTGAAGTTTATGAGACAGAGCGTGGCAGAGTGCCGTGTAGTCCAAGGGACTGAGAGTGGCAGAGTGGCGATGACCAACTGATGTGGCCGAGTATATATAAGAGTGGTTGCATAACCGCTGAGATGATGGAAAATTCCGTTACATAACGCACTTATGTAACGAAGGTGGCCGACACGTGGAGGCGCACGTGCCGAGAATCGATGGAAAGTTCCGTTGCATAACCGCTTATGCAACTTTCATGGACCGCACGTGGCCCAACACGTGCCGCATGCGCCGTCCTTGACGCGGTGCGAGAAAAAATCATACAAGAAAAAATGCTATGAAAACGATACGAAAAATCAGGGCTATTCAAACCCAAAAGAACTAACTGCTAGTTCACAGAACGAAAAAGGGGCCTCGATGATATGTGTGAGATTTAGGATGCTTAATATTATTTCCTTTAGAAGACATATGATTGCACGTATACAAAGTCGCGCATATCGCGTATTGCGAATACGCTGATTTTCAGTCTGCGAGATGCTTAGAGTGACAATTACCGTAGATGTATATTAACGGTTATCTTTACGGTAGACTAAAGATAGACTGATTACTGGGTGTTATAGCGTATCTCCAATCCACCGAATCTTCAAATCTTCGTATCTCAGTAAGTACTTCATCACTAACAACTAGTAAATATTTACATCAGATGCGGTTGATTCGCACCTGAAATTGAGGTTTCAGTGTGCTCGCGATCGCGTTTCAGTCAGCTTATCCCGCAGATTTTTTCGGATAGTTTGAAGTTTAGTGCTCCTTTTCTTCTGTTTTTTACTTCAAAACGTGCTTCTCTAAGCGGTTTTTTTACCCCGATTATCAGCCTATCGGTTTGTCGTTTTTCCCGGTCGTGAGAGAGACTTTAAAGTGCGTGACTTACATATTATTCGGGACATAGTGTTAACTGATTTGAGGAACTCTTCGAATATTGTGTTGAACTGTTTTATTGGAAAATGCCAAAAAGCATATGTTGTGATGCCTGTGGAGCCCTCGCTCTGAAATCTAAGTTGCGTTCCATCCCTGGTGAGCAAGTGCTTGAGTGCTTAAAAAAACAAAACTCATCTGTAACTATCGGAAGTCAGATTTGTTTGAAATGCTACAAATCAGTGGCGAAAAAAGAAACCGCGTCACCTCTCGTAGGACGGAGAAGGAACTCTACTGAGCCATCATGCAGTTCAGCCCCTCAACCCATTCCCGAGCATACACTTTGTAAAAATGAAACTACCTCATCGGCAGGAAAGATGAAGCTTCATGTTGGAAGAGCTTCTTCGAGCCATCGGAATTGTATTGTATGCAGGTCCAGCAAACCCGAGGTAACCCGAGTATGTATTCCTGCTATGGCTAGATATAAATTTTTTGTTGATAAAGGCTACATTATTCCTGCAGGAGCACGATGCTGTGAGGGTCATCTGATCTCATCATATTTGAGACCTGATGTCGACATCCAAAAACAGTCTGAGGAATGTTCTCTCGATGCTGAAGAAATTAAAGAGTTACTAAATGGCGTGAGGAGTATAGCAGCGCGCAAAGGTTTAGACTTTGATACGCCTGGTGTTCTGACTGTTGAAGATTACTGGAATTTGACCGGGGTAACAATCCAACGGTTTGACACAATTCTAAACAGTATAAGTAGCCACATACGAGACAGTAAAAATAGAACTAGTCGTACAAGTTTAGCAATTTTTTTGATGAAAATGAGGACAGGTCTATCCTATAACGTCCTCTCGACTTTGTTTTCAGTTTCAAAAAGTGTTATTCAGAGATCCATGCGTAATGTCCGTGAGGCACTCATGTCAGAATTTGTTCCGAAACACCTGGGTTTGGCAAGTATCTCGAGGGATACTTTAATTAATGAACACACCCGAGACTTCGCAAAAAGCATTTTTGACGATGGTAACGGTAACAACAAGGCCATCATTGTTGCTGACGGCACATATGTTTACATTGAAAAGAGCAGTAACTATAAGCTGCAAAGAAGAACATTCTCAATGCATAAAGGCCGACCGTTGGTTAAACCTTTCATAATTGTCAGTACCACAGGTCTTGTCTTAGACGTCCTCGGTCCTTATTTCGCGGACGGTAAGAATAACGACGCCAACATCATCACCTCGCACATGGTCTCGTCGGCAGATGGGCTACGATCCTGGTTGAAGGAAGGAGACGTAATTGTTGTAGACCGTGGTTTCCGAGACGCTGTGGGATTTTTAGAGGATTTAGACCTGATAGTAAAAATGCCGCAGTTCCTTGAGAAGAATAGAAAACAGCATTCTGCTGAAGAGGCCAACGCGTCCAGGTTGGTGACCTCTGTGGGATGGGTTGTTGAAGCTGTAAACGGGACCATCAAGACTTTTAAGGCCTTAGCTCATACTATGCCCAACTCTCAAATCCCGTACATAGGTGACTATGTCAGAATTATATGCAGCTTCATCAACGCATTTAGACCATCCAGAATAGGGGACGAAGATGAGAATTCCACCATCATTGCGCAGAGAATGTTGCAGTTATCTAAAAACGAAAATCCACTGCAAGGAAAAGTGCAGAACTGGTCAAACAACAAAGCGACATGGACTCAGCTTGACTCAGAGAGCCTCAATGATTTTCCTAGGCTTACTTTGGACGAACTGCGCCTGATCACCATGGGGATATATCAGCTGAAACAAGCCAAGTCATACGCAGCTGAACACGAGAACGATGATGGGTTGTATGAGCTATTCGTTCACCGAGAATGCACCGACGTCATCAGGGTGAAATTGCAGAGCCGCCATGTATCAGCCAAAAAATACCACCTTTGGATACAGTATCACCCCATAGGCGTTTCTGGGTGGTATTGCCAGTGCAATGTGGGCGCTAGAGTCGTCGGCTGCTGTGCGCACATCGCATCTGTCATGTGGTACCTCGCTCATCACAGACATAAGACAGAAGCACAAAAAACCAAGCGTTTGTCAGATGAGTACGGGTCATTTCTTCAAGATTCCGCAACGGTAGCTCCAAATGAGTGGTCTGATGGAGAGGACGAGGAACCTGATGAAGAGGCGACAGATGAAGATGCAACTGGAGAGGAGTGAAGGAAACCTGAGAAGAGAGGAGGGGGCAACGAGGGCAGCAGTATTATTCGAGGGTAAGGACAATTTTAAATGCAAGTTTAATGTTGCTAAATGAAATGTGCGAAATGCGATATTAATAATATATGCGATAATAAATGCGAATTCAGGTGGAGTAGATAAAAAGTTACTGTTTTAAATTAATTTAGGGAAGCAGAATTCTGAACAATCGCTGCCGATAAGAGGGCTGGGGGAGGGAGGGGGATGGTGGTGGTTGTCAGGGGACTTCAGATCACGGCCAATGTTTGAAAGTCGCATCCTCTTGCGCAAATATCGTGCCTAGAAATCGTAAGAATATGGGTTGTCTATAAGCGCAATATATTAAAATAATGAATACCAGCACGAGGTATGATCCACTTGCATCTCTGAATACTGCAATTTAAGTCTTTCAACTTTATTCCATCCGCATAATCCGAAAAAATGGCTCAAATCCAGGGGAACGTGGATTTTTCTCGATTTTCCCCCGATGATGTGGCAACGCCGTGCCGCGATGGGAGGTTCTGTAGTTAGATAAATGTATGTAATTACTGGTGATTCGGCCATAACATATGAAAAATGAAGGTTTTTGGACTTTTCTGAATGAACTCGACGAGAAATAGCCCCCAAATACTGAGATAAGTACTCGGTTTTCTATGATTTTAGGCAATGAAATATGGCAACACCGGCTTTTTTGGGGGGCTTTAAATCGGAAAAAGTTCTTAGAGGAAGGTTTTGACCACCCACGACCATTTTCTGCCAAAAAAGTTTAATTCTGGTGTAAAATGAATCGCCTTTTTTAAGCCATTTTAAATAATGATGAAAAACAAGAAAAATTCTAAAAAGTTTTTTTTAACTATGAGCGCAAAGTTTGACATCGACGAAAATTGGCCAAAGTGACTCTCTTACATCCCTAATGAACATACTTGAAGGATTTTTTTGTCCGCCGAAGGGATCGTTACGAAACAGCGCGTCGAATGCTGAAAAACCCGCACTTTTCGCCAAAATTGGCCTTCAGACCCATGTTTAGGCCAGTGGTAGACCCCGAAATAGACCGGAAATGACAAAACCATTGTGCATTCCGTAAAATATAGACCTTCAATGACCAAAAAATCGCGGAATTGAGGAATTTTAGGGTGGGGCCAAAAAAGGCCCTTAACGATACCCCTCCTTTGTATCGGTTTTTTTAAATTATTTTTTTTTGTCCATAATTTTTGTTTTTCCGGTAATAATGTTGAAGGGAGGAGAAACTTACAATTTATATTCAGGAAATTTGCTTGGCGTCTACTTCATTTGATATCATTGCTTTTGAGGCGACGAAAATTTATATTTTTAGCTTGGCGGGTCATTTTTACACGGAAGTGTTTTTGGTGTGATATCATATGTACATCACTGCTTAGTGCCATTTGCTCTGTACCTTTTAACGATCCTTGTTATGTGTGAAAAGGACGTCGGGTAGAGAATCAATGGCTACCTTAATATCATCAATGATCGGAGTAAATTGTGAAATTATTTAAGCTTTATTTTTATCTTATTCATTGCCGTCGAGCGATGGTCGATGATGTCGCATCCTTTGAAAATGCATTTCTCTCCTAGAGGTTAAAAATAAAGTGAAAATTGGTGTTGTGTCCGTGCTTTTCTGAGAGTGCTGTTCTGTATTGATCAGCTATTAAATCATGGTGAGGGGTCGTGCAAAATGGGGGGGGGGTGCTGGACTTTTAGAACACCCTAAATGCACAAGAGACCTAAAGGCACACAATTTGTTTCCAAACCAAGACAGGAATTGTAGCTTCAAACTGAAAATTTGGTCCAATCAAAGATAAAATCGGAGCAAAATTGGAACCAGATTTGGACTATATTTTGCGTATGAATGAAAGTTCATAATGAACCACTAGACGAGGTACGATTTTCAGCATTCTGATACACGTTTCGTAACCAAAATTTCACTTAGAACACGATGCGCACAACAAAAATTACCGAAATTAACTCCTTACGAAGATATTTAATGATCCGCAATTTTTTGTTTCTTATGCGTGAATTCAAACCACCCGCTCATGAACACTCAATGCTCTACGTGATTCACATCGCGCGCTAAACGTTATCGTGAACGTCTCTGAGATAAAAAAAATCTGGCAACCTCAACTTGACACTTTGGCTCAGCTACAGCAAATTACTTGCAGTTTGAAAAACACGACACGGTGGGATATGAACATTGCTCGATTGAGAAGCTTGCTGAAACCGTTGTAGTGCGCGATTTGGCTCACGTAGAGCTTTGAGTTTTTTGTGAGCGGCCAGTTCATATTCCTCGTAACCATAATGTGAAATAAAATCGTTAATATCTTCCTTAGGAGTTGGTTTCAGTAATTTTCGTTGTGTGAATCGTGTCTTACGTGAAAGTCTGGTTAAGAAACATGTATCAGAAAGCTTACATTTGCACCTTGTCTGGTGGTCCATTGCAAAATGTATTTAAATTAAATAGGTGAAAAAGAGGATGAAAAAACCTCTTTGTTAATTTAAACGAGGGGTCATTGAATTCAAAGAATATTAATTTTCATGAGCTCATCGATTACCTACGTAATCATTGCTTTCCCCATGACATTTTCTGATTGATTAATTAATCGAACGGAATTCATTCCCAGAATATTCGATGCTGGACGGGATTTAGCATTATTTACCTACCACAATTGACTTATCTACAAAAACATCCTCTCTCAATCCGGAAAAAATACAAAAACAGAATATAAAAGTACAGTTAAGCTATCAATAAAAATGTAAAAGCTGTAAGAAAGTCCAGATCATACTGTCTCTGCGAAGTACGGGTTGGATAGATTATTGAAAAACTGACATCGCAACATCTTTTCATCAACGCCCATCATGAGACGTCCCCGTTGCTTTTTCCAGCTGGTACCAACTTCAAAACTCGAACAACCTCTCCTCCGACATTCTTTGCACATGCTTCTTTCTTCATTCTTTGCCTCGAGTCAATGATTCGGATAGTAAAAAATGTCCATTAAATCAAATATTCAAAATGAAATAAACGTAGGTTTGTAATGCGGAATTTCTAATTCCACCTGACATCAGGGACCTGTATTTTTAAGTCGGGTGAGTCTAAGACTTCAATGACGTCATTCATTTGTTGTTACATACTTGAGTCCCGCCGCAACCCCTACGTCTTGAAGGACGCTGCTTGTAGAAATTTGTATGTAGTGTGGTGAAGCTCAAAAGCTACTTCGCCTTTGTTTGTGTTATTAATAACCGAATGCCGCTCTTATACAGTATTATTCTTGAAATGAAACAATAATGCTTGAACCAGTTTGCAGATAGACGCGCTTATTTTTGTTGTCGATTAAGAAAGATCAAATATTCCTCGAAAAGCGCATTTAATTACCCTGCTTTTGACGTAGGAGTCGATCTCAGCCCCCTGAAACTGCTTGAAAAGAATTGTTATTTTCGCGTACTTAAGTTTCCGCTTTCCTCTCTTACCAGTCCAGGTTAGTAAAAGATGTTTGACGATAATAACGCAAACCTCGACCTTATAAAATGTGAGGTTAGTCATCGTTCAATTTTCTTACTCCTACAAGCAGCTCACACTCATAGAGCGCTATTGCTTGCCCGATTAAAATAGAGTTTAGCAACGAATGAGCTGCGTTTTAAAGGAAAATTGGACCGAGTTCATCAGAAAGTAACCAACCCGTATGAAGTTGAAACAGAGAATAACATGTTTGAAGTTTTATTCCTCCATAAGGCTCAATGTAGAAAATAAACTTTAACAGAGGCGTGGCGTGAATGATCGATTATCGATATTTCCCCATTTGAAGGTATGGTGAAGAACCGATTATTAAAGTTTCGTTGCGAACACCCTGAATATCGATCTTTTTACATAGGTTTAAATGGCAGATCGATCGCAAATCACGCCACGCCACTTGACGTTGACCTCTCTTTCCACAAACTAATTAATTTTTTTCGACTTTCAGTTTTTAATTGGCAGGAGAAAATAAACGACAAGTGGAACTCATAGGTAAATAAACATTCCTAATTCAATTCTTTCGAAAATGTGGGTTGGTTCCTTTCTGATAAACTTGGTCCAATTAAGGGGCTTGGAGGAGAAAGCGCTCACGTGCAGTTTTTTTTTTTTTTTTTAAATAAGTTGAAATATTTTTGAACTCAACTAAAACTAGTTTGAAAGTGAATTCTGTGAAAAATTCATAAGTAAAATCCAATTTTAAAGCATCGAAAAGTTAGTTTGAACCATCTTTCCGTCATAAGGATTCATGTAATTTCGAAACTTCAAATACATGGTTGTCGACATTGCAAAAACTGCACTTGTGCGTCTTGTCCTCCAAACCCCTCAATTAAAGTTAACAAAGGACAACGGACCGGTCTTATGGGAAAAGTGGGCCCGGTTAAATCGGCCGGCTTTTTGATATGTTGTAGGTCTCAACCTACTGATCAAAAGAGTCCATTAGATGAAATCACACATTATATTATCGCGCATTAAAAACTTTTGCAGAATGTCAACTGTTTCATGAGCAAGCCAATCGCATTTCGCCTCGAGATTTAAAAGGAATGGCGTTAAATTTTATTAAGTTTAAATCGTACTAGCCACGTTAAAAAGTGCCAGTATAATAGTGTCAGTGCCATACTGACCTATGATCCTATTGTGAGGGAAGGCGAGGATTGAGAGGCTTTCTTTCTCTTACAGCATATTCCGTGCTCCATCTCAGTCGACCTTTCGAAATGCAGTCGGTCTCATTGGGATAAAAAAAGTCTCCTGCAAAACATGACGAAATTATCGGTTTGATGCAACTTGCGAAAGCCAGTTTCGCTGCCAGAGTTAGGTCGCGCACTTTTCATAGTATATTCTTAGCCGACCTTTCATGAAGCAGTCGGAGTCATTTGCATGAAAAGTTCTCCAAAACATGGTAGAAGCATCAGTTTGATCCGACCCGCGCAAGCCAGTTTCAGCTGCTCGAGTCGGTCGCCCCCCT